TTCGTCTTGTAACTTATTACTAAACATTTTGTTTTCATCCGAGACAACTTTGTTTAACAGTTTAAAAATCGCATCTTTTTTCTTCGTCTTGTAACTTATTACTAAACATTTTGTTTTATCAAAGTTTGTAATTGATCAGTTATTGTCATCATAGTAGGTTCTGGTTTGTGCCTAATTATTTTATTTTGTATTTAAATATCATTCTTGTTTAATAGATTAAAAAATTAAAAATATTTGGCTCACTTACGACTCGTTTGTCTTTCTTGTTTGTTCGTCTGTTAGTCCTTATTGGAAGTGGTTCATGACTTATTTGAAGAGCAAACTTCACTTGACAAAGTTATTTTGAAGATCATGCAAAGAGCTCAAAGGCTTTTAAATTGTGAAAGAGCGGCGTTGCTGTTGCTTCAAGAAGGTACGGATTCCGAGGTGAGAGAGTAAAAGGAAATTGATATCGTGTTGTAGGCTACACTCTTTGTTTGGTATGCTTACCGAAAGACTTAGTAATACTGCGCAGGCGCGTCGTCTGAGTGAGAATTTGAAGAGGAAAATTAGTTTGAGACAATTATAATAGACAACTAATAAAAACTTAAGCAAAAGATTTTATTTTGTTTAAAAAAATGTTATTTATATTCTGAAATAGATTGATTTTTATCACGGAATTCTCCACAAAGACATAAGTCACAATTCAGACAATGATGATATGGTTTGAAATAACGCATCTGACTTTACATGCGCACGCACAACATTACGAATTACTTTTAAAAATATTAAACTATCTTCCATTATAGTGGTAATAGATAAATGTAAGTTAAACACTCGAATAGAATTTTTACTGCATTCTATTTTACCGCGTCGTTTCATTCGCCCAAGTTACACAAGTTCCAGTTACAGAAAATAATAAATCCAAATTTAATCTCCTACAACAGTCTGACTTTTATGTTTTATCACTGTCACATTTATGTTATAAGGCGCCCACCGCTCCAAGTACGGAGCATGTTCAGTGGTATCACGGCCTGAACACCAGACCCTATAACCACTAGGTAGTTCTAGGCCTATTTTCAGCTAGGAAAATACTGAAAGTTCAATTTTTTTTTCACATCTAGTTGAGGCTCCGCCGATTGCCACCAAATGACGAAAATTTGTATTTTAACCATATCTTGTTTTGTCGTTTGACATTTTAAAAGTACCCTGTTAAAGTCTGTTGCTTATCTAAATTACTGATTTAATTAAAGTACAGTTATATGAAATATGGGTTTTTCTTTATACTTTTGACTGTCTATGCTATGAATGTAAAATTTACAGAATAATTGCAATAAAAACATATATTAAAAAGAAGGTACATTCATTTAGTTGCGGGATCAATCTTACTTCATTTATTTGGTTTTCACCATTTTAAAATCTAATAGCAACAATCGTGTAGATTTTCCTAATTTTTTTTAGTTCGAGTGTAATTTTAATGAAAGCTACTGCAGGTATTCAAGTTTGATAAAACGAATCTTTTAAATTATTAAAATTGCCATATTCAGAATGTATTTAATTTGTTTTTATTTCAACATAATGATGAATTAGTATAAATTACAATTTTGTTGCTCATTGGAGAAGGGGGGAAATAACTTTAGCTATTTTTCCTTACTTTTTAGATCGTTAAATTTAGTCGAACGTTCGATTTGGCATCACCTTTAGCAGGAAGTTCTACAACCAAGTGAGTGTTAATACTAAACAAGAACACAAATTTGCCAAAATTAGAAATATTGATATACCCACATGATAAAACTACGACTTGTAGTAATAAAAGCACAGAAAATATTTGTTTCAAAACTATTTTATAAGATATATTTTCTATCTGAATGTTTTTTAAATAACATATTACAAACATGATAAGGAGTAGTGACCCTATATACAAGAACCTACTACCTGGAAAAATTAATATAGACCCGGACCATGAGCTAGATTAGCAGTTGAGTAAGTTATGTTAAAACACTTTTAGAGCCTCACAATATCGTTACAGACCATGTCGCTAACTACGGTCACGATGTATCTGATATTGACAGTAGTCCTGCAGAGTATAGTGTCCATTGCAAAAACCTCCGTCGTAAGACTGTCATATCCAAAGACGTCAGTTTACCAGAAACTCGTTCAACAGTCTGTCTAGCGACTTGATCAATATGTCTGTGTGTGAAATAGCATGGATACCCATTTCGTTCTCCAGCTGCTTGAGGTGTCGAAAAGTTGAACGGGAAACCTTATCTTTGCAAACCAAGAGTATTTTCAGGTAACTGCTAAAGACTCGACAGGATACTTACTAGAAAATAATTCTCAACTCTCTGAAGACTCGACAGGATACTTACTAGAAAATAATTCTAAACTCTGAAGACTTGACAGGATACTTACTACAAAATAATTCTAAACTCTCTGAAGACTCGACAGGATGCTTACTACAAAATAATTCTAAACTCTCTGAAGACTCGATAGGATGCTTACTACAAAATAATTCTAAACTCTGACTACTAAAGCCGTGATGAACACAAACGTATAATAGTTGTAATAATAAACAAATTTGACATTTTAACTGTTTTGAATATACTTTACTTGACACAAGAGACAGTGTCTTTTCTGAAGAGTTAGCTCTGTAGGTAATCGTTGAAATGTCAGCCATACCCAGCACAACTAACACTACACACGTGACTGCTCATTCCCCAATGAAATACAAGATATATCGTTATTTCTAGAGGTACTCTTACTGCCTGTGGAAAGGTACCTGTTTAACTTCATGTATCGTAGGTGACCTTGCTGCCAACTTTCCCGCGGGAAGACAAAAGGCTGAACGATATAGAACAATAGATGGCTAAAGAAAGGAATTGAACGACTTTCTTGACCAACTTTTCATGTGGAAAGTAGACATGCCTATATTAATACAAGGATGTAGAAAACTGGCATACCACAAACCCTTAAGCTTATGACATAGTTCCCAGATTGAGATTCTTCTTGATTATGTAGGGTACTGTTGCCAGGAGGACGTGGACAGCTTTAGCGACCGACCTTTGCGTTCGTGGATTCTCACCTAACAAGAGGCTGCAATTCTTTTACCATGGCTGGAGCATGACTTGTTGCAGATCTTTCTGGATGGTCTTGGTGTATCCCAAGTTGATCAATATTCCTTTGTTTTCCAAAAACAATGTCATTAACTATGAGGGATATCGAACAAAGACGTTCAACCTACATTTACAGAAACTCTGTTTAGTTTGACGATTTCCAAGGAATATGCTTCCAAATTAGGCGCACAATTGATTTTAGTTATAAACTTATAACTGGTCTCAGATAATATTTAGGTTTGGAGTTTTACTTACATGAGAGTATAATAAAATAAAATAAAAATATTATGATAAATGTAATATGCTATGAATTAATAGTGAATAGTTGAACAAATTCTCATTGACGTTATTCTAAGTCTTTCAATATGATGGTGTATCACTCAGGTTAGCAGAGAATAGTTGTAAATTCCAGAACTTCGGAATGACTCGATCTTTCGAACTTTTGTTCATGTCAGTTTAGTTATCGTAAAGAATCTTTGGAGAAAAGTCTTCGGCCATTAAGTGTTTTGTAATTGTTACTTAAGTGCTATAGAAACGGGTTTGGAAGGACTTTCGTATCTTTCGTCAAATTCAATTGATGAATATTGGCGAACGGTAAAGACGAAAGACGTCAATTAAGTTAGTCGAAAGTGGAGTCCATCTGTCTGCAAATCAAATATAGTTAGTCTTTTAAAACGTCTCCAAAGTGATCTTAGTTGTATTCTAAAGCTTATTCTCTCAATCCTATTTTATGTTTAAAATGAACGCTGAAGGCCTGTCGCGAAACTAACTTTACGACTAAGGCGTACATTGGAAAATAAAACTTCAGTAGCTATTATTTGTTTGATTCATACTTTTCAGTCTTCACCTAAGGAAAGTTAAAGGTTTAGGATTTTAAAAAAGTTTCTCTTCTCATTTCAACTTCAAAGCACTCGAAGCTGGCCTGAACTGAAAACTTCTTCTGGACTACTCCAAGTTGCTGAAAGAGTAGTGTGTACTGGCGAAGTATTGAACTTAACTGATCCTCCAGAGGTAGGGGTATTTTTATTTCTACTATGTGCAGAAAAAACAAAAAAAATAAACATCCAAATTCCATCACATTAGAAATAATAAAATAACATTATAATCGTAGTTATTATGTACATAACGAATTAACATTGTGATCGTAGTCATTATGTACCCAACGAATTAACATTGTGATCGTAGTCATTATGTACCTAACGAATTAACATTGTGATCGTAGTCATTATGTACCTAACGAATTAACATTGTGATCGTAGTCATTATGTACCTAACGAATTAACATTGTGATCGTAGTCATTATGTACCTAACGAATTAACATTGTGATCGTAGTCATTATGTACCTAACGAATTATCCATATTCTCCAAAGTCTGTAAAATATTATTTATAAAAGGACCACAAGTGTGTGTGTGTCTGTACATAGATGGATAGATAACGCTGAAAAACTAACATCAAGTGCATTGTAAAAATGTTATATTGTTCTACTTTTTTTTTTTGTAATAATTACAAAAACTTGTAATACACACTACTATTTTAAATGGACACTCTTCATTAAATATTCAGTATGACGATAGTAAAAGATGACCGTTATTTCAGGTGGTTAATAGTTCTTTGGCATTACTCTCTTATTAATCACTTCATAAGAACTATGTATTGAAATTAATCCGCGGATTGATAAGAGCAATATACTAACCTTTTAACAGACAAAATCATAAAAACTGATGTTGCATGGAGGTAACACTACATACATACATACATACATACATACATACATACATACATACATACATACATACATACGTCTTCAGTTTATAAAGTTAGTTTT